ATATATTTTTGCCTCTCTGTCTTTTTTTTCCCCCAAATCCTACTATTATTGTAAAACAACAGTACAGATCTGGAATCTTTTTTCTTATCTTTTAGATATGGGGAAATGTCACCTTACCAAAGGCAAACAGGCACTAGAGATTCGAAGTAGTTTATCTGAGAAGAGAGCACTTACTGATCCAATACAGGGAACAGAACATTCTGCAGAATCTCTGGTGCGGAATTTACAGTGGGCCAAGGCTCATGGTATGGTAAAGTCTATTGTTTGTGAGATCTTTCTATAATATATTTAAATCATTAAGTTTTTTTCTTCTGAATAAACAGCTTTTCTCTCAATTTTATAGTGAAAATATTTTAGCCTAGTAGATAGATCCAAAACTAAACAAATGTTTTAATTATGGATATGACACTGATTTATTTGATGTTGGAAATATCAAATTATTTAGCTTATTATTTTCACCATTGGTAAAATTTAAATGATTATTTTAAATTTTTTCTATTTTTAAAATGGGTTATTTTTCCATTTGTCTAACATGAGTCTCCTAAATTGTGACCTGTTGAAGTGTGCAGCTGTCAACATCAGCCAGGTCTGGGTTCTGATCCAGTCTCTACCACTTGATAATCATGTTACCTATAAAATGGGGATAAGAAATAGGACCTACTTCGTAAGGTGGTAGAGATCGAATGGGAGCACACTTGTAGAGACACGCATGATGCTCAGCAAATACTCTGTGCTCATAAATGTTACTGAACATTGTCTCGGACACTGGAATTGGTAGATTGGGTGATCAAGAGAAAAGAAGATGAGATAAAAATCGTATCTGTAGCTTAATTACCATTCAGTAATTCCGTGTGATTTAGTGAAGAAATAAGTTTAAATCATTGACTGAAATAAAGATTTTGGATTTTCTGTGAGTTCCAAGTATCTGTTCCATGAATCTCTTATTATAGATTATTATATTTATTGAGCTTCTATAAAATATCTTTATTTTCAAAATAGTTTTTGTTCTCTAAGATATATTTTTGGTAAATTAATGTTTCAGCACATTAAATATAAAATACCATAAATATATTATCTTGCCATTCCAGATAACTGGATAAGTAATTGAAATTGAATGTATTTTACCTAAGAAAGATCTAAACAACAACAATAATAAAAATATGGTGGTACAGATCAACAGTGAACAAAACCGTTTATAAAATGAAACTAAAATATCAGATAGAAAGTATTTGTAACAAATTTAATACGTAGGTAATTTTTTAATAATAACAGAGCTCATACAAAATGGTAAGAGAAAAAACATTAAGACTCCTTCCCTCAATAAATAAATAAATGATGCTAAGTTCAACAATCCACACGGTTGGAAATAAATTAATAATTAAGAAAGAAATCTAGCAAATGGTGAATTTAAATAGTAATTAAGGAATAATTAAAACTATGATGATGTATTTCTGTCTCTTTTTAATCCCATCAAATAGACAAACACTTTAAAAATTGATATTATCCTTTTTGGAAATGTTATGGTGAAACTAGTATATTTATATTCTATCTAAATTGAAAACAGTTTATCCCGTGTGTGAGGAACGATTACATAGCTAAATTCAACATTCCTAAAGCATTAAATATGTGTATGAGAAATACTGATTACGATTGAAAAGCAGTAAAACCCAGAAGTAGTATAGATGTTCAAGAGTCAGCAGAATGGTTAAAGGTAACAAACTAAGTGTGGCCATTAATTTTGTGTGTATGTGTGTGTTTAAACAATATGATGTTGGTTATATAATATTTTTAAGTAAAAGAAAAGCTCTAACCATATTCTGCCCCATAAAAGGTATTTTATGTTTATCATCGGAAAACTTACCAAGCAATCTTTAAATAATTTTTTATAAGTTGTTCTTACTGTTCTTTTTCAGAACTTCCAGAAAGTATGTGTCTTAAATTTCAGTGTGGTGTTCAGATTCAATTAGGATTTGCAGCTGAGTTTTCCAACGTCATGATAATCTATACAAGTATAGTTTACAAGCCACCTGAGATAATAATGTGTGATGCCTATGTTACCGATTTTCCACTTGTAAGTCTCTCCTTTTTTCTTTTATTTAAAATACAATGATGGGCCGGGCGCGGTGGCTCACGCCTGTAATCCTAGCACTCTGGGAGGCCGAGGTGGGCGGATTGTTTGAGCTCAGGAGTTCGAGACCAGCCTGAGCAAGAGCGAGACCCCGTCTCTACCAAAAAATGGAAAGAAATGAATTGGACAGCTAAAAATATATGTAGAAAAAAATTAGCTGGGCATGGTGGCGCGTGCCTGTGGTCCCAGCTACTCGGGAGGCTGAGACAGTAGGATCGCTTGAGCCCAGGAGTTGGAGGTTGCTGTGAGCTAGGCTGACGCCACGGTACTCGCCCCAGGCAAGAGAGTGAGACTCTGTCTCAAAAAAAAAAATACAATGATGTATTCTCACTTATTAAGACTAAATTTTGAAAGACAAAGTTGATGGTAAATATAAAGGAAATATGTATATATTTATGTAAGTGTATATATGTTTATTTGTAGTTTAGTAACACTGATCATAATATTTAATAATTACCGATCAAATATAGAAATATCTAAAGTTCACTCAGGAAGGATGCCTTTAATTTCTTATATCCTCAATAGGATATCAAACGTGAAGAAATAAAATGTGCAATACATATATCAAGAATAATTTCCTTTTAAAAACTTTTGTTTCTAATATGTTATTATAAGGTGTGTCTTATTTGGCAAGTTAAGGTAGTATACCAGAAGAACAGAAATCTAGCTCTCTTTTCAAATATTTAGGTATGATATTTATTTTATGTTGGTCTAAAGAAGCCAATAAATAGAACCCCTCTTTCCTACATAGGTGTGACAAACTGAGAAGTAAACAAAGAGTATGACAAACAGAAACCCAGCATATCACTTTTATTGCTGATAGAGGCTGCACGGAGGACATTGCTTCGTGTGAGAGCAAATGGTCTAGAACCAAACCCCAGAATTCGATAAGTCGGCCCTGCGCCCCAATCACGGCAGCACTGGACTGGGATAGGCCTCCCAGGGTGCTAGGCAGGGGCAGAGACTGAGGGCTTCTCTCCGGAGGAGCAGAACACCTCTGGCTCTTGGCCAGTGGGTTGGCCATAAAAGAAGAAAAGGAGAAAGGTTGCCTTCGGCATGCCCATTTATTCTTCTTAAATATCCTAATCATATACATCCCCCTGCACCTTCCCAAAAGTGACGATGAAGAGGGAGAGAACCCAGGAGTCAAACACTAATGGGGTGTTCTCCACTTAAAAGGAAACTTGAGTAGGTTAAGAAGTGTTCCCAGGTACAGTTTGAAAGGAAACTCTCCTTTCAGAGCTCACTTTACTTTCTAAATGGCTTAGTGCAGAATTGAGAGTTCTTGTTACAACCATAGAATGTTGGTTTCATTGTTACTTTAATCCTGGATTAGGGATAACCTGCTCAGCCCAAAATTCATGAGAGTGCAATACCTGTTAAGATATCTTATGTCATAGACTATGTTGTGACTGTCATTAACCTCATTATTGACATTCCCTGATTTTTCACAGGACCTAGATATTGATCCAAAAGATGCAAATAAAGGCACGCCTGAAGAAACCGGCAGCTACTTAGTATCAAAGGATCTTCCCAAGCATTGCCTCTATACTAGACTCAGTTCACTGCAAAAATTAAAGGTTACTACTTTTCCTGTTTGTAGCTACTAATAGAAAACTTCATGGAACTGGAAGTTCATTTTAGCATAGACCATAGATGTGCTGCTTCACTGGGTAATAAATCAAAGTAGAGATCTACACTGGGTCTCATCAGTGCCTCTTTTTATTTCTGTCCCTGATAGTGGCTGGGGGACTTTTGTGTGAGGGTATGTGTGCATACCCTCCATATTGTTGAAAAGTTAGGAACATAGAGCATATTCTACTTTTAAATATCTTAGTATTTTCAAATAATCATTTCCTAGTTCTGTAACTTTCTACAAAACATACAACAAATTAGAATTGGAATTTCTCTTCAATCTTTTTTCATTTCTAGTTGACTTACAAATGAGAAGCTAGTTCTTCATGGTTGAGCATCCTAATAAAAGCATATCCTTACAGAAATTGAATTTTTAATTTGTTCATAGCTGCATGACCATAGAACGTATCAGCCAAAACTCAGGGAATAGGAAGGGGCCTATTGACAGTTACATAAGGACTATGGGCATAAATCTATTGTCACCCTGCTCATTAGCTCATCTACTTCAAGTCTCTCCTCTTTTAGAAATTTAGCCCAATATCTGATCCAGTTATATTTTCTACCTATGATTGTGGATTATTATTTATAATATCTTAAAAATAGCTTAAACTTTTGAACTGAGTGTAAAGCCAGATCATTTTTTATTAAAGAGTAACTCCCCATCTCCAACAATAGGGACAGATAAGTTTCCTAAGCCCCACTGCTTAGAAAATACCCTTTCACTGTTCAGGAGGAATAGAATATAAGATCTCTATGATTTCGACTATTTACAGTAGTAAGGACTACAATTCTACTAAATTCTTGAGTATTGAATGATGGAAAAAGAAGATGAGTATAGCTGGCCTTTCTCAGTTTAGGGTGGATGCAAAGGATACCTTGATGATTTGGAACCTGGGAAAGACGGATGGGTGGATTTTTATGTTCGGGTGTGTGTGTGTGTGTGTGTGTGTGTGTAAGTAATAATATTTTCAGAGTGTTATATTTTCACTGTCGATGTAGATAATAAACCTCATTTTTTTTCCTTTTCAGGAACATCTGATCTTCACAGTATGTTTATCGTACCAGTACTCAGGATTGGAAGATACTGTAGAGGAAAAGCAGGAAGTGAACGTTGGGAAACCTCTCATTGCTAAATTGGACATCCATCGAGGTTTGGGAAGGAAGACTTGCTTTCAGACTTGTCTTATGTCTAATGGCCCTTACCAGAGCTCTGTGGCCACCTCAGGAGGAGCAGGACATTATCACTCATCTCAAGACTCATTCCATGGCGTTTACCATTCGCATCTTGGTAATTCGAATAATGTTCTGCCCTCCGATAGTTGTCACTGCAGCCGGACTCCAGATGCGTTTATTTCAAGTTACCGTGCTCACCATTATTCATGCCAGTTTGGCAGAAGTAATGTGCCAGTAGAAACAACTGACGAAATACCATTTAGTTTCTCAGACAGGCTCAGAATTTCTGAAAAATGACCTCTTTGTTTTTTGAATTTAGCATAATTACTAGATGCCTCATATGAAATAGTACTGTACCTATATAAAGCGAGGCAGCGTGAAAAGGCAAATATGAATATGTAGAGAGAGAAAATTAGTAACAGCTGGTTCACAGCAAACTCAGGACTGTGAAATGTTGGCATTACATCATTTAATCACTTCTTTCTCTTTTTAAAGATTTTGTGAGTTGGTTGATCTGTTTTATAAGAATGAAGTGTGGGTGTGTATGTGTTTATGTGTAAATAACAAAAATATTTTCATTTGTACCACTCTGAAGTAAGAGCAGTGGGAATGGCATTATTGTCAAATATGTGTACTGTATTTTTAGTACCAGAAAGAACCTTGCTGATGATCGGGCTTAACCTAATTTTATTAGTGGGAGAAATAGAGGCATCTAAATTAGAGCACCAGAACCAAGATCTCCAGAATTCTATTCCAGTGTTTTTTCCACTACACACTGCCTTTCTGACAGGTTCTGAGACAGGTAATATTTTTGTAGATAGATTAGAATATATTTATATATGTATAAATATATAGATATGCATATCTGTGTATTATCTCAAGGAATGTACAAATTTTAGTTTGAGATTATAGGACTTTGCTGCAAGTGTCAGTTAAGAGGCTTGTGTATAAATCTTATGTAGAACAGGCTGAAATTTCTTGTTCATAAGATTATGATACGACAGTCGGTGAGGATTTCCTGTTTGTCTATGTTAAAGCTAAATAGCAGAGGTTAAAAATCAAAATATAACTGGATAATTTTGATAGTTGCTTATCTGAATCTTCCCAACATTGGAAGTGTTTTCCTTGATAACATGTATTTTGTTCTTGAATTTTACTAGCCTTAAGCAATAGTATCCTTATCACCATTGGTTCTACCTAAAAGCAGGCTAAAAAGGTAACTGACAATAACAACAACAAAAAAAGATTGAATTAGTAATTTTTAAAGTCTCAAAAAGAAAATCCCAGGCCTAGATGGCTTCACTGCTGAATTCTACCAAACATTAAAATTAGCCTTAATTCTTTGCAAACTCTTCCTAGAAACAGAAGAGAGAACACTTCCAAACTTATCCTTTGAGGCCAGTGTTCCCCTGATACCTAAACCAAACAAAAATACCACAAGAAAACAAAAATATTCCTTACAAATACAGACACAAAAATCATTAACAAAATATTAACATACTGAATCCAGCGACATATAAAAAGGATTATACATCATGACCAAGTGGGATTTATCCCAGAAATTCAAGATTGGTTTAACATCTAAAAATTAATTAAACAAATATACAGTCAATTCTCATTATTCACAGTAGTTACGTTCCATAAACTGACCACAAACACTGAATTAGTGAATATGGAACCATTGCTTTTAGGAGAAGTGTTTACATATCTCACATAGATTATGAACTTGAATCCCTAAAAACAACTCATCCTGGTAGATTCCATTCTGTCTATTTTACAAAAGTGAAAGTGAGGTTCAGAAGTGTTAAGTGACTTGCCTGAGGCCATCCCAGTAACAGGCGCCAGAGTTGGAATTCAAACCCCGTCCATCTGGCCCCGGAATGAGAGTTTCTCTTGTAACTGCACTGACCTGCCCCTGCCATCTCCATCCTCCGGTCATCTCTCTACGAGAGCTGAAACAAGAAAACAAAGTATGTCTTTGTTTGACCTCAGCTGGGAACATGGATATTGGGTGACTCAAATTTTTCACCAGTCTGCACATGTCCATGAATGACTGCAGAGTGCCATAAATATTGATATGAGGGTTATAAATAAATTTGTTAAGTCAGTAAATGCACAAATACATAATCATAAATAATGAGGATCAACTGTACCATATTAGTAAAGCACAAAACCACATTGATTGTCTTGATAGATGCAGAAAAAGCATTTGATAAAATCTAACACCCTTTCGTGATAAAAACACTCAACAAACTAAGGATAAAAGGGGTCTTCCAAACATGGTAAACAAAACATCTATGAAAAACCCACACCTAACATCATACTTAATGGTGACAGACTGAAGGCTGAATGTTTTCCCCTTAAGATCAGGAATAAGACAAGGAGGTTCACTCTCACTGCTTATGCTCAGCATTGTACTTGAGGTTGTAGCCAGGGCAGTTAGGCAAGAAGAAGAAATAAAAGCCATCCGTATTGGAAAAGAAGTAAAAACTTTATGTATTCACAGTTGACATATACTCATGTAGAGAAAATCCTAAGGAACTAATTTAAAAACTAAGAAATGAGTCCAGGGTTGCAGGATACAAGATCAAAATATAGACATCCGTTTTATTTCTATACTAGCAACAAACATTCTGAAAATGAGATTAAGAAAATTTTATTTACAATAGCATCAAGAAAAATAAAACTACAAAATAATACTATAAAACTTTAATTTCTTCCTTATCGAAAGAAATTAAAGAAGATCCAAATAAATAGGAAGATATACATGTTCATGGATTGGAAGCCCTGACATTGTCAAGATGGCAGTGCTGCCTGAGTTGGTCTACAGACTCAACACAATTCCTGTCACAATCCCAGCTGGAGTTTTTGCAGAAATTGACAAACTGATGATAATATTGATGTGGAAGTGCAAGGGACCCAAAATAACCAAAACAATCTTAAAAAAGTTGGGAGGACTTGCTGTTAGCAATTTAAAAACTTACTAAAATAAGACAGCGTAGACATATGGATAGACATATAGATCAAAAGAAGAGAACAGAGAATCCAAAAATAAACCCATACATTTCTGACCAACTGGTTTTCATCAAGGGTGCCAGTACCATTCAGTGGGGAAAGAGTTGTCTTTTCAACTAATGATGCTGGGACAACTGGTAGCTACATGCAACGCAAAAGGGTCCTTACCTCATACCACATACAAATTGTAACTCAAGATGGATCATAGGCCTAGATATGAGAGAGAAACCTCTTAGAAGAAAACGTAGAAGTAAATCTGTGTGACTTTAGGCTAAGCAATGGTGTCTTAGATACAACACCAAAAACACAAGCAACAAAGGAAAAAATAGACAAATGGGACTTCACCAAAATCAACTTTTGTGCCTTGATGGACACAATTATTAATAAAGTGAAAAAGCGACTCCCAGAATGGGAGGAAGATTCATAGATCTGATAAGGGACTTGCAGTATCCAGAATACATAAAGACTCTTACGAAAAGGCATATGTGCGCACGAGCTCAATCGTGGCTACTGCAGAGCGTCTGTGGTGGTGGAGATGCTCTTGTCTGCACTCCCAGCGTGACAGCCTCGAGCCTTCGGTGGGTGTGCAGCAATTAAAGTATAGCTAGTGTGAGGAATGGAATTTTTTAATTTTAGTTTAAATAGCCACATGTAGCTAGCTAGTGGCTTCCATACTGGACTGTGCAGGTATCTCGAATGGGCCTAGAAGGTAGGTAGGGTAAAGGAACATTTTACCTTTCGCTTTATGCCCTTCTGTGTATTTGAATTTTTTAAAATCTAAGCATGTATTTAGAAT